TGCTGCTCCATCCTCTGCTGTTCCATTCTTTGCTGCTGCTCTAGTCGTTGCTGCTGGAACTGCTGCTGTTGAATCTGCTGTTGCAACTGTTGGTGTGTTTGCTGAGGTGACTGCGGCTGTGACTGCGGCTGGGCCTGTCGCTGTTGATTTAAAGCAAACATAGACGGGCTAGCCATAGACGGACTAGCAGAGGTATGGTTATCCCTCTGTTGCATGCCTGCGTGGGGTAGTCTGTTCATCCCCTGCTGTGGCGAAGGAACACTCATGGGGTGTCCATGAGAGAGGCCAGTTGTCCCTGGCTGCGGCCGAAGGTGGGCCATTGGATTAAACCCACGCTGGAGGTTCTGCAGCGCCATAGGGTCTGGGTTGCGAGACATAAGATCCGGGGAGCTCTGCGCCGTAAATTGCCCCGGAAATTGGCCATAACTGCTGCTAGTGGGGTAGCCACCTAATGACCCCGATGTCGGGGTCATCTTGCGCATATCTGGAGATTGCGATGCAGCGAAGTTCTGCTGAGGCTGGCCCCGAAAAATTGGCTTGTTGCCCGGGAAGGGACTGCCATGCTGTGGCAGCGGCGGCCCCGCACCTAGTAAGGGCGATTGGGCATGCTGGCGTTGAGGCTGTGGACCCAACGGATGTTGGGGCTGAACACCTTGATGTTGTTGCTGTTGAGACTGCTGCGGCTGTTGAGGGTGGAATTGGTGACCACCGTAGTTCATCATCTTGAGTCAATTTTAGAGATGCGCTGGCACTTGGCCGTAAGCGGCAGAGAATGGAGTGATCCTTTCCAACCGCGAAGCATGCAAGGGCGAGAACGGTCAAAAGAATCGCGTACTAGCTTGAGAAGGAAATGTGGAATATAGAAAGGCAGTTTTAAATCAAGACTCGTCACCGATATGCGCCAGCGCTGCTGATAATTCTATACGGGGAATCACCACCTGAGTCGCGCCGAGGCCGCGTGTTTGTTTGTTCCCTGGCGGCTGAGGCCACAAGGCAACAAGGCAATAAGGCAATAAAGCGACCGCGCACCGGTTCCCAATTGGGTTTAGCGGCTACGGAGACCGAGACAAGTCGGTCAGCGCACTTTGAGAAAATGAGTCGACGGTCGCTCAAAGGGATCCAGGGGGGAGACCAGCTGGGGGGATCCAGAGAGACAGCGAAGGTGATCCAAATCTATTTGCCAGAGGCCTTAACGGATGTCAGGGCCTAGCAGAAGTAGATTGGAGATGAAGTGGATGACGCTGGGCTGGAATCCTCGATGGCGAGGGAAAAAAACATTAAAAAATAAAATAAAAAATAAAAAAAAGAAATTGGGAAAAAACGGAATTTTCAGATTCTCCTCTCCACATCACGTGACCCTGAGGTTGCCATAGTATGGCTGTGTCCAACTACACTCCCTACCCAAGGTGGATAGGATAGTCTATTCATCATCTCAGCTGTGGAGGTGTGAGGTTTGGGATTTCGAAACACCTGAACCCTCGTTTGTCTCCTTTACTCCTCAATCCTCACTCACACACTCGGCCATCTGCTTATCTTCCGCAATCCTTGCAAAGTATAGAACCACACCACTCACAAGTACTACACAATGTACGTGCTACCTGAAAACTATGGAGACATCATGCTGTTTCCTAACATCCTTGTCCTCTGCTACCCGGAGATCTGCCAAATAGGGCGAAAAAAACCTTGAAACAAACCCCTTTCAATGTGCCAATACTGACGAAGATCCACAATGCAAACCACAAATCAGGAGCAGATCTGCACAAAATTAGTCGAGCACTATAATATATGTTGTATGAATATATCTTTGATCTTGTCTTTCTGAGAATATTCAAGAATTTGATAGACTGTCTTTTCTATCTTTCCTATTCTGACGAAAGTAGCCTCTGGAGGTGTAAACATGTGTAAAGAGAAAAACCGATGAACGGCGCCTCTTTTGTAAATACACTCATGAATTTATGGAAGCGACAAAAAAAAAGGCTCTAAAATGTGCATTGAAAATAACTAGGACATGTATATATGATCAAGATTCAAGGTAATTCCTGGACAGATTACAACCCCGTCTGCTCTGCCGCAAGATAGTCTTCCCAGACCTTCTTAATGTCATTTTGATAAATGAAATCCTTGTCTCCATAGAGGAAATTGTCGATTTTAGCTTTCAGAATGACATCAAAATCTTTCTCTTCTGCTTGGAGTTGTTCTGCTTTGTCACGTATTTCGTCTAGATGCTGATACCTGCAAATGGTCAAAAAAGCGGGGTCAGACAAGCCATTTTGCGCACGCTTTCGAGCTCGAACTTACATCTTGGCATAGTATGGAGATCGGATCTGTTCAAATATCTCTAGAGCGTCTCGTGTAGGGCGAGAAGTAGCCTGCGTAAACTCAAGCGCCCGTGCGAGGATCCAACCATCCTCCATGGCAAACGTCGCCCCAGATCCAAACGCCCCTGGAAGGCTGTTAGCGCTTGACATTATAACCTTCAAATGATAACACATGGACTTACCCGAAAGAGGGTGACTGGCATCTCCAATCAGGGCGACTTTATCCCAGTCGGTGATCTTGTTTAGACGAGGCCCAGCGAATGTTGCAAACTCCCTCCATTCTCCTTCAGGAACCGCGCTTACTGCGTCTTTTATTCTTTGGTCAAAAGCCTGTTTATATGTTAGCAGCGAGTCTTTTTTTTCTCGCAAAGTTTGTCGCACCTCAACACGCGATCCCACTTTCTCGTTGGTTGCAGGGATACCCCAGAAGACCGTCTTCCCTGAGATCTCAGGCTCACGATAGGATCGAACAGTGATTTCAAAAAGCGGATCTTTGGACTCTTCCTCATCGTCCACATCAGAGAGATATACATGGCCAGCTTCACCCCACCACCATGAGGTTGTAGTCGTGATGTCCGGGATATGGGCCAGACGAGACTTCGGAATTAGAACACGGAACGCACTGTTACCTGTAAAGTGCAGTCGGTGATCAGGCAATAGGGCCCTACGAACAACCTATCTCACGAAGATGCGTCAGTTACACATGCCAGTTCCATCACAAGAGGCTCGACGAACAGAGTGTATTCCGTCCGCCCCAACGACAATGTCCGCTATCGCCTCTGTTTCATCCTGAAAGACCAACCGAATCCCCCGACCCGAAAGGTTCTCCAAAGATACAACCTTTTTGCCAAATTGAATTAAGCCCTCGGGTACTCTCGATAAGAGAGCTGACTGAAGTCGGGTTCTACGAGCACGGATTGATCCGCGGGAATCTGCAGCGGAATTTTCTGGATGCTCAGTGATGTTCAAAATCTTCCCTGTGTAGGCATTTCTTCCAAGAATTGAAAGTCAACATATGCATTCGTTGTTACTGTGCCCAGGAAAGCATCGCTTACCTTTGGTGTGTGTTAGACTTGGAGCCTCCCTTGACGCCATCACTAGCTCCAAGTAAATCCAGAACTCTCCATGCATTTGTGCTCAAGCTGAGGCCTGCACCGGCTTCTCGGGGCTCCGTATTTTTCTCATACAGAGTCACCTTTAGAAACGGCAGTTCCGAGAGAGCAATCGCCGTACCTAATCCACCGGGCCCGCCACCAATGATGGCAACTGATGTCAATGCTTGTCCGACCATATTTGCGAAATAATTGTAGGCTTAGATGTGGTATTATTCGAATGTTGGGGATTTTGTCCTGCTTATATATCCAAAGTATTGCATCTCGTGGTCGGCGCTGGCCGGTAGATAACTCCATCGCACGCCATACTGAGCTTCGAATGTGCCATACGGCACTAGTATGATACTGCCCACCAATCCCACGACAACGGGTTAAAGAATCAGTCGATTCGGTTAATCAGACCCCGCGCGTGGATTGTCATAGAATATCTCGGTTTGGCACGTGCTGGCTTGTTGGTGGTCGATCAGACCATCTCCTTGGTTGCAAGTCAAGGGAATAGCGTTGGCCCGTTGAGAGAAGAGGACACCACCTGAAAGCCAACTGACCCCTTATCATGGCTCACTGATGTCTACCTATCAGTCTTAGTGAGAAATGTCATCCCGGTCTCTAGACTGCTATGGAGAGACGTCTACGGAGAGATCAAGGTAGACCAAAGTTGAGAAATACGATCCCACGGGGTGAGACTTTCCTAGTATATCGACTAGTAAATGAGGAAATACGTTCTTGATAGATCTTGGTGAATGCACGTGCCCCACGGTTCCTTAACCCTCCTTCTCACTACCTCCAGCCATTGCTTTTTGTACATTCGAGATCATCATTCGGTCGAATCGGGGAATTTATGACCAAGAAAAGCGATACGAAGTTAAAGTCGTCCCATGCCTTCAGTTTGGGGATGTCGGCAGCCTCCCTGAAACCGGAGATTTGCTACGTGTTATTAGCTTGGGATTTGAGATCTGTGTTAGGGATAGAGTAGAACATGCCTATCATCATTGGTCTCAAAGAAGTTCATAGAGAATAGTTGCACTGCTACTCCTAGACTCCTTCGATATACAATTGATAAGCAAGACTCGAACGACCTTACCCCCGGGGTTCTATCATGTACCTTGTATGGGAGAAGGTCCGAGGAGATCCCCAGGAGCTCTGAAATCTTCCTTTTGACCAACATGAAAGCATCCGTGCTAAGCTCAAAAGAGCCTTTATTTACTTGACGGGTTAATTATGATGACATACTTAGAGCTAACCATAATTAGGGAAGTTCCGAATTTTGGGTACCGGCCGAGGCGGGCGTCCCCATTAAAGATCATACTCGCCAAGGCAAATAGCTCCGTGTAATCATATGGATCGCAAACCTGTTCCTTCCGATCGCTCGAGCCGGTAAGTTCAGCGCCAGATAGAGGAATTTGTTAGATACGCCTCCATGTGCAATGTTTTGTTGGTGTAAGCCATCGAGCCCGAGAAGACTTTGCTTCGCAATGAGTTTAGCAAGCTTGCCAGGGAGTCGGCCATTAGGGAAGTGTATATCAATTGCATCGGGGATGTTCGGCCCCCAAAGCTCATATAACAGGCAATCATGAGATCCATTTGGGCCCTTCAGATCAAAGTGATCAAGGATGTGCACCGTACGTTTCAGAGGGTGATGAAATGCCGACTTCTTCAGCGTATGGAGCTCGCGGATCTCCCTAATATTCAGATATTCCCTCAAGGCGACTGGATGTAGCCACCTTGTCGGCAGCGATGAAGTGGCTCCGAGTCAACGGGGGAAACATATAGGGGCTGGTCAATCTGACTCTTGTCTCGGTGCTGAGATATGGATTTGGAGAAAATGCCAAGTCGTGAGATACTCCTCGATGGGATAGTACTTCTGGACAGTACCCAGAAAAGTGTAATGTAGGTGCTGTGTCACAGATCTAGATTGTTATGTACGGGGTGTGAACGATAGCAAATCACATGATCTGGCAGTAAATTATGTGCGATTCCTGTTGAAGTCTTGGGCCTAATATATCAATCGGACGTTCTGATTGTTGTTATGATCTTTTGGCCTGGAGGTTAAAAGCTAATCACTCAGGTGCAGCTTGAGTACCCGCAACGCGTTGTAATCACGTGAGTCTTGGCACTTGTTCCCACGCCCCGCTACACCAAACGTAAACAACTGACAACCTGATATACCCCGATTGGCACCTTATGGCAGCTACATAACACCGCTAGGGGGTGTTTATGAGCCCCCGCTGACTACTTCGCCACATGGAGAAACGCTTTCCTCAACAATAACCCAGGTTATCGTCGAGTCCTCGACATCATCGAGCCGGCCAGCGATCAAGCACTTGAACAGCGGTTCCATCCTAGCTATTATGCTAGATTTATACGAATGCTGGATACTGATGAAATTCTTCAATGTTATGTGGAAGACAAGGTCCAGTGGATTGGCTCCACCTGCTCACTCACCTCATTTCTTGCTTACTCAAATCATCAAAAAGATAGTTACGATTATCATCCAAGCCTTTCCCGTCTATCAACCCGAATGCCTGCCGAGCCCTCTTCATAAGAACTTCTTCGCAGAGTTAGTTTGGGAAATATCAAGTCAATCAAGGGTGCTTCAAAGGCGTGACGAGCTCGCAGAATACATCGAAGAAGCGAAAATTCCCTCTGTTTCCTCAGCGATTGGTCTTCCCGGTTGAATTGAATCAAATACATGCCGAATAATTGCAACTCAAAGTCTATAAGGACACCAATTCGGAGTGCGATACTGTTGACAACCTCCGCAAGCGTGGTATCCGCATTGATGCTGTCGGTCTTAAGTCCCACTTTGTTGTCGGCCAGACGCCATCGCTTGCCGATCAGCTCGCTACTAAGAAAGCTTACATCAAGACTGATTTGGATGTTATTATTACAGGACTTGGTATTCGCTTCGCGGAGGAGCCATACTATGCTGCTAACGTGCAGAAACAGCAGGCTACGGACTACTACCTCGATGTTCAACGCTGTCTTCAGGCTGGACATAGTTGCCTGGTATGATAGCCTCAAGACTGAACAGGTGTGTCACCCTGTTGTTGAGGTGCTGCAGGGTAATAAGTGCACTGTTTGTTGGCCTATTGGTACCGGGTCATATTTGAGATGAGACCTTGAACTTTGTAAAAAGAACCTAATTTTACAAATACTTTTGAAGAATTCGCGTCACTAGGCGGATAATTTGGATAATCTCATAACCATTAAGCGCCATTTATCCAAGTCTAGAGTTACTCTTGTGCCTGTGCTTTTGCAATCGCTCCCGGAGCAGCAGGCATGAGCGCACCTAGAGGTGGCTGGTTCTTCCCTTTGAACTCATCGCACATTTGTTCGAACGTAACCCACTCCACTCCCTCATGACTATTGATATATTCAATGAGCCTGCATATATTGCATTAGTCTCACGTTGGCCAACGGTCTTTGGCTGTATGAATCTGAACGTACCTTTCGTGCATGAGCAAAACATGAGGCCGACCTGAGACATCGGGATGAATCGTCATGGGGAAGACAAACTCGTCGTATTCTCGATAGAAATAGTCGAAGTGATCCTGTATTTAAAGAACCACGTCAGACCAAATTCTCCTGGTTCTGGATGTAGGTAAATACTAACCCTCCAAATATCCTCAACATCACGCGGATTAACCCATCCATGGCTATTCGCCGAATTCTTGATAAACATCATCGGCGGTAAGTCATCAATATACCAACTGCCAGGTATCTCCACAAGTCCAGTAGTATTACCCCTGACGAGTGGTTTCATCCACGTCTCCGCCTTCTGCTTATAGTCAATCTTCGTCCATGTATCCCCAGTCCGCAACCAGTACATCTGACAATCCTCATGGGACATGGAATGATCATATTCAATTCCATAAGCGAGCAAGAGCTCAACCATCTCTGCACTAGCCTCCCACCACGGCGCGACAATCCCGCGTGGTGGCTTTCCGCAGAACTCAGTCAACATCTTATATGTCTTGTCGAGGATGTCGCGCTGTTGCTCCGTAGACAAGTCACAGGGGTTTTCATGCGAGTAGCCGTGCAACCCGATCTCGTGGCCTGCGTCCCGGACCATGGCACATTCCTCTGGGAAGGTGTCTAGGGTGTGACCTGGGATGAACCATGTTGCTTTGATGTTGTATTTTTCGAAAAGCTTCAGCACGCGCGGTGTGCCGATGTGTCCTGCCCAGAGACCTGATTTTTATGAGTTTCGTCGATGTGAGAGTGACGATCTTATAGACACATTAGCTTACCTCGACTGATATCGCTCACGCTATCCTCGCCTCCGTATGAGCCTAGCCAGCCAGCTACTGCGTCGATGTCAACACCGTAGCCGACAAGAACTCGCTTTTTGCCCATGGTGATTGGGTTTGATTTATTGCTGATGACAGGGAGGTTGAGGCTAAGATTAAGAAAAATAATGGGAAATTGGTTGGAATCAGGTGTAGGAGAGGTTTTGTTGATCGAAATATATATGGTTCTCTACCCCCAACCATGCACCATGACAGACAAAGGTGGGGTGATCCTTAAAGGCGTTGAATCGGATTTTGTCGTATTGAAAATATCTTCATGTTATGGATAGCTATTTATCTTGATCCCACTCATGATTGACTCCGACTACCCCACTTGAGGTCGTCTGCTCTAGCTTGTGATCTATCACCACCATGACTTGTTCTGGTACAGTTACAATAGGCCGACATGGATCCATGGATATGTGTTTGCGAGTTTTTAACCAGTCCCCAATAGTAATTTTGCTACCTGGCGTTAACTTGAAATTGATCGCACAACTTTGCCGTCATTTCCGTCTTCATTTCTTTTCATCTTCACGCTCACGATGCCCGAAAGAGAACCTCGTCTAGTTCTTCCCAAGATGCTTGGTGAAACGATCACCACATACTGCCCTGATCCAGATGACCCTTTATTATCTTCTCTTTACAAAACACACGAATGGATTATCATGGAGAAGCTGAGAGAGGAACCATGCCCAATTACCCCAGAGGATTTCAACCAAGGCATAGGCTCTGCATCTACTACTGGAACATATCTTTGTCACTGCATAGACGACCCCGGATTTGATCTCGCCTTCATGCGTATCTATAAACAAATCCCTCTGGATGGCACTGAGTTTGATAATTTAGAGAATCGGAAGAAGCAGGCTACCATTGAATCTTTCGTGGAACTAGATGCCTTGAAGAAGTTTACAGAGACCGAGTGTACTGCTACCCCTAAACTCCTTGGATATCAAATTAATAACCAAGGCGCGAACGACCTTATCCCCCGCGGATATATCATTTACCTTATATTGGAAAAGGTCCAAGGAGAACCTCTTGAATTTGAGGAGTTCTGGAGCTTTCCCTTATATAAACGCAAATCTATCCGTGAGAAGTTCAAAGTCGCTTATATGTTTGTTATATAGTATACTTATAATCACGTCCTTGGAGCTAACTAGAATTAGGGAAATTCTGAGGTATGGGTTCATGCTTTTATCACCGGAATCATCAAATATCATACTTGATAAATATACAGGTGATATGTATATTCTCCTATACCCTGAATACTCTTGAATCTTGAACTAATAATACATAGCAAAATCACCGGTTTCGATATGGCTATAGAGATCGACCCAGAGTATGAATGGACAGACAACAACTTCGTGATATATGACCTGGTCCTGCTCTCCTCGAACTATGAGAAGTACGTTCCCATGGCGAATGATATCACCACTGATAAGTACGAGGGCTGGAGGTGGTGAGAAGGAGGGTTGATGCTAAATGTCATGATCTTTTTGACCTGTTTGCTGTTGCTTCTTTCCTTTGTTCATAGATGTTTGCTAGCTAAGCGAGATGATTGATATCTGCCATGTTTGCAGCAGTGGCCAGCTATATATGCAGGCAATGACCAAAGGCCACAACATAAATTCCACGTAGATGAATGACTCATGACTGTAGCTGCGGTCTCGGGGTCTTACACGAATCTTCAAAATAAATGGTTCAGAACTTTAAGCTGTGTCGATTGTGAGGCTCCAGATCGACCTTGAAAAAGAAAGAGTACATCCAAACAAATAACTAAGATGGAGAAAGAAAGAAGAAGCAAGTTGTAGAGTGGAAGCAACCAGTTGATATAGCTGACTACTTTGCAAACGTTGCAAACGTTGCAAACCTTGAACCTTCTCGCTTAGCGATCTAGCAAACAATCTATCTAATGAAGTAAACAATGCAAACATGAAGCATATGATATCGAGCTATCGTAGATCGTGAGATCAATCCTTCAAAGTTTCCCTTCCTCAAATCCGACCCACTCTCATGACACCCCCTTTAGATGAGGCTTTGATAAATTCCAATATTTCTTCGACTGCGAGTCGGTAGGAGCAAGCTATGGTATTAAAGAAGATAGGCAAAGATCAGAGCTCTTATCGTGCAAATGAATTGGGACAACCCCCACCTTTGAAGCTTGCGTACTGCGTGGATTTCCCAAAGTGAGTATTCTGAATACGCATCACATGACTTACGACCCAACCAAACTATTCCGAGATCACCTGATCCCCTAATCTATCTGTCACCATGAAGATCGAAATTAAATCGTGGGTTTGAATTAAATACCAGTCGCATTTGATCAATTGAATACTCTCTGCTAGCTAGCATTTAAACGCCGTTTCCAGAATTAATTTTTTTCCTATTGGTGGTGGTTAATTTGAACTAATTCACGGGGAAGATCATGTGATCTCTGAATAGCTTCATGTTATTGACATAACAGGTAATCTCTAAATACCAAGTACGGTCCTAAGTTATGTGTTGGCTATTTAGAATACTACTAGTTAGTTATAGCATGTCGAAAACCCTAATTAATTGGTTATGAACTTTGGGAAGGAAGGCATAGTATTGACAGTGAAGAAGGTATGACTCCAGACATGATAGAGTAACTAATGTATTAATGTGATGATTTGAGCCCAAGTGATTGAATAATATCGTAGTATAACCATCTATCCAAATTCCAATCTACGATGGTATACGAAAAATCCCAAAGCATCTTCTCGGCCTATCCATCATAGCGCATCGTGTCCATGTGTCTCAAACGGCAATCCCAGACACAAAACTCCAACAACAATCCACAATGCCGCGCTCGCATAGATTGGCGCAGTGGTAAAACCGGTTTTCGACGAGATAATACTAGCGACGAGTCCTCCAAATCGAAGGAGCGCAGCCGCTGTTCCGCAAGCCGTGCCACGATGAGGAGCTGGGAATGATTCCGGAGTGAACGCGTACATAATAGCGTATTCTGTGACACTGATTAGCTATGAAATTAGACATCGGCCATGATAGCAGTCTCACCGAAATTGCCTAGAAGGCTGGTGATACAAGAAAATGCCAAGTCAGCTGATGGAGTGTTGACTCCAACATATGCGAAGAGGAACACGCCTGTGACAGCGGCTGAAATTGACATCATCCATCTTCTTCCCATGCGGGTATTAACCGATACTGCGGCAGATAATGGTCCGACTATTCCGACAGCCGATGTGATGCAGTAGTTGCGATATGTTAGGGAGAGAGACGATTTTTCTGTGAATTTGGTCGCAAGGTAGGAAGGTAAGAAGGCGAAGAACAGCGGGTATGCGATTCCTGAATAGTGTGAGTAGAGATATAATAAGGAATGGCGTCTCACTTACCGACTGTCAACCAGATGGCCCAAATGATCAATGTCTGTCTACCGAGCTTTGGAGTTGCGAACAGTGCACGGTAGTGCTCCCCTCGGAACGCTTGCATGTTCTCCTTCACAATTTCTTTCGTTGACATTCGCTTAGACTCTCCTTCGCTGGGAGTATTTCCAAACCTGGCATCGATTTCTTGAAGCATCTCAAGCGTCAGGGGCTCTGGCTTTCCATTTTGTTTCGCAACGTAATTGATGGCGTTGACCGCATCCTGATCTCTTCCCTGGGAGAGCAGATATCTGGGGGTTTCGGGGAGTTTGAAAACAAAAATGCGTATGATGGTAAATGCGAGGGCTAGACCTCCTAGAGTGATGAGTGTGTATCTCCTAATGATTCGGAATTAGCGAGGGAATGCACTGTGTATCATGGGGCTCTTACCATCCCATGTTCTGGCTTCGAGAACATGTTTCTGGGGTGGCATCAGTTGGACAACTAAAGTGGGCTAGGAATACCCAAGAAATCAAGGAGACAATAAGTTGACTCAGATTCCACCAAGCCGAAAGAGCTGTGAGAAGATACTGATGACTGGAGGTCTTTGAGTTAGCAGCGGCTCACAGTAATATCGTCAACTCGGGAACTCTCACCTTCCTGGGACGAATTCTAGGAATATCATCGAATCAACAGGCACATTTCCACCGGCTGCAGTTCCAATGACTGCCCAAAGTGCACTGAATGCAATGAAGTTCATTGAACCAGCAGCGGCACACAGAAATATGCCAGCAATGAGTAGCGTACAATTGAAGGCCGGCTTGCGTCCGATGAGATCGCTCGACAGACCCCAAAACGAAGCACCCAAAATGAGGCCAACATAATACGCAACGGAACTGTAGCTGACTTGGACGATACCAGTGAACTCTTGCTTGATAGGGGGCTGGACACTTCCAATGCCCTGTGATGCAAACTATTCGAAGTATATGTTAGCAAGAGTGATTTCAGGAGGAAAGCAGTGATCTTGCATACATTATCGACTATCCATCCGAAACCGGTGACCACGAAGAGTTTCCATTGGAACCTAGTAGTGCCAGGATATCAGTACCGCAATCAACTGCTCAAGATTGAGAGGAGTGAATACCAGCCCATTCCAATTTCCTCCAGGCATTTTCCAACTAACTCAGACTTCAAGCGGTATGCCTTAGTGGTAGAGGATCCGTAGAAATCCTCAACCTCATAATCATCAATAGTCGTTAGCTTAGAAACCTCATAGTCCGGAGTGCTGCTCTCTGTTGGCCGGATCTGCTTCTTGTCGACTTGGATTTCGTCCATCTTGCAATTGGAAATTGAGTGAGGAATTTCTTGCTCTCAATGTAGACATATTCGGGTCAAATGTCGTTCTCTTTTAGGGCTACGATGTTGCTGCCAATCGATCATCTTGTCTGATAGTCCATACACTTCAGGTTGATACGGATGGATCCGGCTACCAAGAGTGGAGAGAAAATAAGGTGCTATCCCACTCTTGGGCCCGGGACGCGTTGGATCTACGATATCACAACAGCTTAGACCAGGCCGACAATTACTTGGCGGCTTCACTGCACTTCACTCTATTAGGTTTATCGATCGATTGAGCCAAGCAATATATGGTTATTCAGTGCTTTTTCGTGTTGTGTGCTGTAGAATATGCTAATATTGCATTTTCTTACTTCTGTTTTTGGGTTTTTGGGTTTTCTTCGGTACGAGAGCATCAAATATGTAGAAATCTTCAATAAATTGCAATATGGATAACACTAGGCACCGACCGCAGCAACAACCGGAATAACATCTGCCTTCTGTAAATCCAAATCCTTCTTGAATTCCTCAGCGCGGCCATAGCTCTCCTTGTAAGACGCTGTCACCATATCCTGCACAGTAATTGGACCGTACTTGGCAGGTTCCCCCTCTTCGCGACAGTTAGGCAAGCACTCGCAGATATAGTCCGGGTTTCCACTGAAAAAGAACGGAATCGAGTATCTCTCTCGACCGGATTTGTTGATCACACGATGGGTGTTGGATTTATATTTGTCATTCGCCATGCGCATGAAGAGGTTACCCAAATTCACGACATACGCTCCAGGAACGGGTTTGACCTATCAATAAATCTCCGTCAGAGCCAAGGTCAAGACACTACGTTAGTCATAACTCACATCCAGCCATTGGCCTGATGGCGCATCTAGCACCTGCAACCCATCGACCTCATCCTGTAGAAGGAGAGTGATACACCCAAAGTCGGTATGCGCTCCGATGCCGCGATTCAATTTCTCGTCTGTGTCCTCCGGCTGCGCGGGATAGTGCAGGTATCGCATTGTTGCAACGGCTCCGTCTGTGAGAGGGTCGAAGAATGTTGATTCAACTCCCAGCGTTTGAGCCAGGACCCCCAAAACATCCTTTGCCAGATCGAATACCGCGTGGTAGTATTCCATAGTTGTTTCTTGGAACTCCTCCTTATTGGGAACAGTAGGAGGCCACTGGTTGGGGCCACTGTTCAGTTTCTTCTCCAAATAGTAGGGGTGGTCTTCGGGGATTTCCTCGCCGATGTACAGGCCTTCTTTCAGCTCTGGCCCGGTGCCTACTTCTAGCATTTGCGATCGGAGGAGTTCATAGCCTCTGTTGAAAGTGGTGAGATCTACTTGGTTAGCAGAATTCGCGATGAGCGGGTAAGGATCTTACTCTTGTCAATTTTCAATTTCTCCTCCAGAGGAAGATCAAAGAAGCGCCTGGAGCATTTCATGACACGGTTCTGCAAGTCCAGTGGAATGCGGTGGCCAGTGATCTGAAAGAAGCCGTTGTAATGGCAACATTTGCGCACTTCTGCGATCAACTTTGATTTTGCGTCGCTATCCTCTCCATAGAATGGAGAGAAATCCAAGATGGGTGGAGCTGCAGGTAGAGACATAGTGGTGAGTTAACCGATGAGGTGTGCTTCTGTTTGCTTTTTTAGATCGCGCTGCTTTCAATATATTTCTGTGGAATTGAAAAATAGCTACTTCAAGACCGTTCTACCTCGCACAGAAGTCCGACATCTCGACTCGAGCTACTCCAGCTGTAGCTGGAGCTCTGGGATGAGCCATGAAAGATGGGGGTGGTGACAAGAATGCTCCAAGAATGGGGGCCAACGGTTTTAGCTCGCTGCGATAAGGGCGTGCGGGGAAGACATGGGAAGAACAAAGGTCAAAAGTCCAAACCATATCCTATCTGGAGAATCTGGAGATATGGCTATTGGTCATGTCTGGTTGGATATGGCTTTTTGTACTAGTAGTACATATGTGAATGTGAAAGTTAAGAGGTTAGAAGAGAGGAAATATTGCTTAGTATAAGAACCCTGTCCACTAACCCGTGGGCTAGATATTTGAGAATTAGCCATTTTGAAAATATAGTTATTATGATGTCTGAGTTAAAATCAACTGCAACAGTGAAGGTGGCTGACCCCGAAGTCAACGTAGGGGAAACCACCACTTATACAGATCGCGATGCCGAAAGGTCCTATGTCAGGAAAATTGATTTCATTGTGCTCCCAACGCTGTGCTTGGTAGGTTATCTAGCATGAGAAACATACCTATCAGGAATTATCGCTAACTTCGAGGCTTTTGTCATCGCACAGATGTACTTTTTTGACTGCATGGATCGGGTAAGTGCCGAGAAGACGGCATATGCGTTCCCGAAACATGCTAACAATCATTGGCAGAGCAATTTGGCAAATGCCAAGACAGATGGTCTTGAGAAAGACTTGCACCTGAAGGGGAATGACTACTCTCTATTGATTCTTCTCTTCTATATCCCATTCGGGTTGTTCGATCTGCCGTGGAATCTTTTGATCAAGAGGTTTTCTGGTAGAATCATGCTGTCTATTAGTGTGACTCTCCAACCCTTTGAGATTTGCTTGGATTTGCTGACATATAAATGAAAGTGTCTATTGTGTGGGGAGTTCTAGCACTATGTCAATGCGCCGCTAAGGACTTTGGCTCGCTACTTGCGATTCGCATAATCTTAGGTGTTTTTGAAGCCGGTTTCTTCGCCGGAGCTACCTTTTACCTCACGTTGTTCTACAAGCGTGGGGAAATGGGATTCCGCCTGGCTATCATGCAGTCATTTGCAGTTCTAGCGTCCGCATTCAGTGGACTAATCTCCTTTGGGGTATTCCAAATAAACCACCCAGCAGTCAAAGGATGGCAGTGGTTGTTTATTATCGAAGGATCGATGACATTAATTACCGGAGCTGTGGCGTTTTTTGTGCTCCCAGATGGGGCACAGAAAGCATGGTTTTTGACTGATAGAGAGAGGGCGGCAGCGACAGCACGTCTGCTTCGTGATACCTCGTCTGAGGTGAATACTCCATTCAATCTCAAGGCTTGCTTTGAGTCATGGAACGACTGGAAATTCCCAGTGTGGTGTTTGATTACGTTCACATACCCTGTTGCGTATGCCACTGCAATGAATTTCTTCCCTTTAGTAAGTATCGAGGAGCGTATTGTCGAACGTTGGCTAACGATAGCAGATCGTTCAACGATTGGGATATTCCGTCGTCAAGACTAATTTATGGACGGTGGCGCCAAATCTTGTCGGAGCAGTATTCCTGCTATGTGTGGCCAAGTCCTCCGACTATTTCCGCGAAAGAACGCTCCATATTGTCTTTTCTTTGGCGATTTCATTCGTCGGAATGATTATATTAATCGCGATTGACGTTCAGAACAACAAGGGAGTAGCATACTTTGCCTGTTTCCTAATGGCAGCAGGATCATATATTCCGTCCTGTCTCGTTCATGCCTGGCACAACAATAACAACGTACACGAAAACTCGCGAGCTGCCAATACGGGCTTTTTTGTAGGACTGGGGAATTTTGCCGGCGTACTGAGCGCGGGCACATTCCGAACTCAATACGCACCAAAGTGAGATACTCTGCTATTATATAAAGGGGTATCGCTAACTGACTAGGTATCTGCCAACTCTCATCGCAACTTGTTGTTGCAACGCAGTGTGCATAGTCCTAGTTCTTGGATTAGGAGGCTGGATGCGCATGGAGAATCATCGCCGAGATAGCAAACAGGGACTGAGACTGAGAGAGGATCAGACTGACACTAGTCAGTTTAAGGAGGGCGAAAAGAGTCCTGAGTGGAGATACTTCCCTTGATATCTTCGGGTTGTCCATAATATCGCTAAGTAGCCCTAGCTGAGAAATCCAAATTTTACCGTCATCTTTTAGTTGGTGTAGTTCACTTCCCTGGCTATGCATAGAAAGCACCCCATACGGTTTATTCTTTTGACTGTATGCTTTTACAAATATATTGCTTTATACTAATCGGCAGGTATTCTACTGCGTGTCATTATCCATTCTCATTTTAAGTTATAACATAACAAGGGACATCTTAAACGACATCATAGTGTCATTATATAACTATCGCCTCCCTTTTATCATTTCAAGCAAGATAAATCGAGGCCGATAGGCGGCTGACTACTATTATCTGATCGAAATCAAGTATTCAGATCTTACGATGCCCCTGGGGTATTTGGAGAACTTCCCCAACATCCCCAACATCCGCAATCCCCCGGCCCTAGTGGGAAATTGAAGAGCGCTAAGTGGCCAAAACCTCAATTGGAAAGAAATCGTCTCGATAAGAGCTTTGCATATCTTTTTCAAATTATACCAATCAGGAATTAGCGTCATTTCGTCCCCGCATGCTTATCAGTAGACATCGGCGTTTGCCCCGAGTAAATTATTGTCAAAGACATTGAAGTGCACAGCCAGACCTCGTTTCGCACATGGGCAACTCAGGCATGAAAAACCAGGAAAAGCATCCGTGCCAACACCCAGGCTGTAGCAAAAGCTTCACGCGCGCAGAGCACCTGCGTCGCCATGCGCTCAACCACGAGCAGGCGCGCAATGGGTATACCTGCGAGCGTTGCTCTGTTCACTTTCAGCGCTCAGATTTGCTAGGTAAGAATAAACTAGGTTCGGTGGTTAGGCAGGTGCTGATATGGGTCCAGCGCGACATGTGGAGCGACACCAGAAACGGGATCTCGAAGCTGGAGGGCCTGGGCAGGGGACACTGAAGACTCGAAAGAGAACCCGCAGAGCCGAGGACGGTTCGATTGTTGTTCGTCCTTCGCAGCGACAACTGAGGACTGCGGCTGCAGCTCGATCCCCGATCTCGGCAAATAGTACTAGTCAGGAGCCAGAACTGCGAGATGAGGTAGAGTATTTTAATGATAATGTTCCCTTGTCACCACCTGGCTCGGGCACTGATCCAACGTCGATCTCTATGGATGACACAGACCCGTTTCTGGCTTCGTTGGTGCCAGCTGGGCCTTTTGAGCAGTATGTTGAGCCAGTGCCTGGACAGTTCGATGCAGCAGATGGTTCTTTTGGTGTTGAGTTGGATGGGATTGGGGATTATTTTGGAATGGACACTGGTATGGATGACGCCAGCTCGTTCGCCATGTTTCGTACGCTAATCTCAGCAGCAACCGACTTCAACCTCCCATTTGCCGCGACGTCTAATTACAATTGGCTCTTCGATGTTTCCTCTCTCGACGATGCTTTCCATCAATTCAACCTCCCTCTCGGTTTCGACACGGCGCCCATTTTGGAACAATTCGATTCGAATTCTGCGGAAGGAGCAGAGAAATACGATGGCCCATCGGCCTTACTCATGGCGTCAATCATGGACAGGAGCGAAACATTCGGAGAGACCGCATCACCTGCAGTACCCAGTCTCCCAGACCTGGACTGGATGTCTGGTGCAGCGACGCTGGACCCTAACCTTCCAAGGAATCTACCAAGAATATCTGAAGAAGCCCGGAAGGGGATTCTAGCACTCGTTGCACAGGCACATCCAACAAGCATAGATGGACATCCCATGGTACTCGAATCGCCACTTCTGACACTCCCGGCGCTCCAGGCATATTGTGACATGTTCTTCGATCGGTTTAACACGACATACCCTCTGATTCACCAGCATACTTTTGACCCAAGCACCGCGCCACCAGTATTCCTCGCTTCGATTATCTTCATGGGCGCGACATATGGTACGCGTGAGGCTCATCAATTAGCAGTGGAGGTCCACGATGTTCTGCGAAGCCAGCTACTCTGTCATCCGGATTTCTCACCTCAAGCTGACCTGTGGGTCCTACAAACCATGCTTCTGATAGACTGTTTCGGGAAGATGCGAGCTGGTCCCAAACAGCGCGAGCGGGCACAGTTGTTCCACTGTGTGCTAATCAAAATGATCAGGCGCAGCAACTGCTGTGGGATACGCGACCTGTTCAACGTCAATCAGTCAGGGGATTTGGATCAAATGTGGCGACAGGCTATGGAAGAAGAACAGCGTAAGAGAGTGGCTATACACTGCTTCATGTGGGATACACAGCACGCAGTGTTATTCTCGCAGTCACTCTGTATGTCTGCGTTCGAGATCAGATCTTCATTACCGTGTGGTCCTGCAGTCTGGGACGCCTCCTCTGCTCGAGAGTGGTCGCAGCATGCCTTTCGTGAAGAGAACAGGCAATTCCTGACTGTTTTGAAAGGATATATTACACCGGCGGCTGTCTCCCGACCTCGAGATCTGAATGTTTTCGCTCGAATTGTCGTTCTACATGGGTTGATGTCTGTATCTGCGGACCTGAAACGTCGCGATCAAACAACCCTACGGTCGGAGACACCCGAGCGTGTCGGGGCTTGGACACCGCGCATGGGTCGGTCCTATGACCTGTGGAAAGTCGACTTCGATGCCGATTGCCTGGCGATTAAACTTGCTCAGACTGCCAGTCCTCGGCAGTTCACGGGGCTCAAGATCTCCGGGTATGCCCTTTACCATGCAGCGTATCTCGCGTTGAATGTCGAGGTCCTTGATTTGCAAATTGTCGCTGGCGCGTGTCAGATCCTGGGTCGGACAGTTACCGAGGCCGATCAGGCACGGTCGCTGCGGAATATTACAAGATGGCTACAGGAGGAATCCGGACCATCCTGTAGTACTGCACGCCAAGCGGCATCATTACTTCAGGATGCGGTGTTGAGTCTTCATGACTGGGACCAGGCTGATTCCTTCCACTTCCCCTGGTGTTTATATCTATGCACATTGGCCTGCTGGGTTTTTCATCGTGGACCTAATCTCACATCCGACGACAACCGAACCAATACTGATCTGTCTTCGTTGATCGTGATGCTAACTAATTGTCCTAGCTTACCGGAGCTAGCGGTTTTATCTGGCAAATATTGTCCTCGCCCTCTAGCCGGAGCTATGGCTAAACAACTAGCGACTGTCCGGTGGGCTGTTGTTCACGATGCTATGAAAGTTTTGATGAGATTGTCATGATAGTCTTTGTATTCTTTGTATTTGATAGTCAATATGTAGTTTCCCAATCCGACATGTTGATCTGAACAAGTGCGGTCTATCTTTATCTATTTGCTATAGAAAGGATAATCCGTATAACCCTTCTGAGCAGGATCAGCACCATAGAATGTCGTGCGATCATAAGGAGTCAAAGGCAAACCCTCCTTCAACCGACGCGGCAGATCAGGGTTGGAGATGAAATAACGACCGAACACAATAGCATCCGCTCCACCCGTGGCAAGCTTGACAACCGCATTCTCGGCGTTGAAGTTTCCAGCTGCGAGGAGAGAGACCCCTGCCTTCTTCAGTGTCGGCCGGAACACATCAAGTGACGGCTTATCCGAAGCCAGGGAGTCAATCTTAGACGCTTCATCCATCACCTCATCGAATCGGGGCTCGACCATGTGCACGTATGCGGGCCGCGATTCCTCGGGCAGTCCAGCAATCTGCGAAGAGAGCGCGAGCCAGTGAACGTTGGGGTTTGAATCGCGCGTATCTTGGAAATAATTGTAGGGCGACAGGCGGATGCCGACGCGGTCGGCTCCGATCTCGGCGGTGACGGCCTCGAGGACTTCGATTATGATCCGAGATCGCTTTTCGATGCTGCCACCATATTCGTCGGTGCGAGTGTTGACGTTGTCGTGGAGAAATTGGTCAAGGAGATATCCATTGGCACCTGATTCGTTAGTCACAGCACATCATCAAGGCCGGAGTTATTCTTACCGTGAACCTCCACTCCATCGAAACCGGCCTCGCGGGCTCGCTTTGCTGCAGCAGCATACTCCTTCACTGTATCTTGGATTTCCTCCACTGTCATAGCCCGGGGTGGTGAAGCTGCGTACTCCGATCCATCGAGTGCGTTTCCGCTGATTGGGATCTCACTGGCTCCAAGAACTTCCCTTCCTTCAATCAAGGAGGAAACAGTTGCGCGGCCAACATGCCACAGTTGACAGTATATATAACCACCCTTAGCATGCACAGCATCGGTAACCTTCTTCCAGCCAGCGATTTGCGAGGAAGTAAAGATGCCAGGGACTCCTGGGTATCCGGCGGCCTGAAAATGTTAGTTTCTCGAACTAGTCAAACCGGTCAAACTGGTCAAACAGCCTAAACAGAAGAAAGTTCACATACATATCTGCTAATCGGAGTCGCTTCGGTCAACATAAATCCTCCATCCGAAGCTCGCTGCGAATAGTACTCGACATTAAGCTCATTCGGGACATAAACACCCTCGGACTCCTTGCTCGCTCTCATCCGCGTCAACGGTGCCAAAACTACACGGTGCTTGAGAGTCAGAGCACCCAGGCGGACGGACTCGAACAAAGGATCGGTGACTGCGATTGAACCCATTTCGTAAGGATATATTTACTTTGCGATTGGCACATTTTGGCTTTGGCTAAGGTAATATTTATAGCTTGGAGGGGCCATGGTATGCCATTTTTGGCGGTTCCATTCTTGACTTTTCCATTGAAGGTGGGATCATTGATCTGCTTGAATAGTGGGATGATGGTGAGGCTTGAGGGTTCGGCTATCAAAGAAAACAACCCCCACTGTAAAATGAGCTCCCCCACCCTCGAATGTGTCTCCGCTACCCTTTTGGGATGGATATGGTGGTCACCTGACCGCCAATGTACGCCTCAGGCATCAACCCCTGAATAGTAACTCTCGTAGTCTTAATATCTTGTTGATCTCATTGATTGTGACTACGCTCGGTTCTATCCGATCGAATTGCTAATTTCTTCTCGTCAACTTCATCCCACTATCTAGTTAGAGCATAATACCTCGGTTGACTGTGTGGTGTACAAGAAAGTGATGATAATGTGTACCACATTCTACGCAATTTATATGTCCACATTGTAGAGCATATTAATCGAATAGAAGTGTACAAATAGAAACACTACGACTAACCTCGTTATAGCCATACTAGAACAAAGAAATTCCCAAAATAGAGGAAAAGTCAGGTCGAAAAGACGGCGTGAATGTGTCGATGACCACAATTTGTATCTTCATTTCTAAAACGCAAGCCCAAAGAGTTACTCCTATCAAATATTATACCAAGAAAGATAAATAATCCTGCAACCACTGCCCTATGACACCCACTTGTTCGGTGTCCCAAGTATCAATAGCCCCAACATATCCGTCAGGCCTCACAACAGCGATCCCAATTTTCTCCTGGTTCAAATCCCCAAACCACTTCTCAGTACAACTCGGCCCACCAATATTGTCGACATATAATGTCCACCGACTAGCCTGCAGTATTTCCGGTAGATCAGCAATCTCAAACTCAGACTGAGAAGATTGCGTGACCATTGCGAAAGTAAAAGCATTGGAGACAGAAGTGTAGCGCTGAGCCTGAACAAATTCATCTGACGGAGAATGCCCCCGCGGATGTTTCTCATACGACTGATTTGCTCGCAGGCTGACACCAGCAAGAATATATTGCAACTGTTGACAGATGTTCTCCAGCGATTCCCGGGAGCGGTAAACATTCGGCACAAAGATGTAGATCTTGAATTGACCCAAGAGCGGAACATCCAACTCGATATCGACTGGGTTAGCATCAATATAGCGAGTGACCTTAGCTGGCAGCTGAAGCATTCCAGGCTGGAGGCGAGATGTGGTGGTTGGCGCTTGTGTCAACATTCCCGGAGCATATTCGGCTCCAATGCCGGATATGAACCGAATATTGCTGTCGAAGTTCTTGGCCAATTCTTCATCGCCTGCTGCGAACGCCTTGCAGTGTTCAACATCGAAGTTGATGAGGTCGTATGCTATCTTTTGTCTTTCTTCTTCGTAGGTGCGGAGTAAGGATGGCTTGGCCAGTCCTCGGACTAGGAGGTTGAGCTTCCATGCGAGGTTGAAGCTGTCGTGCATACTCGTGTTGGCACCTTGGGCTGCAAGAGCAGAGTGACAGTGGCCGGCCTGTATATTGATTAGACTATGGGTGATGTGAGGTCAATCCGGTGCAACATACGTCTCCTGCAATGAATATATTTGCCTCTGAATCCATGAAGCGTTTCGCAACCCGCTGGCCCACAACATATGTTCCAAACCACTCCACTGTCTTCCACTCTAGGCTGAACGGATGCATTGCCTCCCTCGCACGACTCATGACATATTCAGTCGTTGCCTTTGATTTTTCCACTCGCTCCCCGTCGGTGGAACTCAACTCCACATATAATCGAGTCATACCCTTCTCGCGCGGAATCCATAAGATCGATCCAGCGGAATGGGACCGCAAGGCCACTTTACTCCATAGATCAGGGAAGTCCGTATCGATCACACCTATTTGGTGAGCCAAAATTCCTGTCAAGAGATTGAAAAGACATACCATCCAGCACTCCCCACGCCGCGTTTGTTAATTCGCCCTCGAGCTCAGCATCCGGGATGAATGATCGAACCTTCGATCGAGCCCCATCGCACCCAACCAGATAACTCGCTCTGATCTTGTGAGCAGTATTTGTGATGACATCCTCATAGATAATATCCAATTGTGTCGTTCCATTCACAGGCGAACAAGACACGAACTTGCTATTCCGCGTAATAGACACACCCCGTGCCTCCATATCGTCAATCATGACCTCCTCAACCATCCCCTGGTGGGCTAGCAGGATATATGGGTCGGAGGCACCAACGTGCTCGGGGTAGTGGACTTTGCGACCTGTGCGTCGAAGTGAGTCGTTGGCAGTTGACTCCTGCCAATTTGTTAGCCAAATCCAGGAGCAGAAATTGACCTAAGTCCTACCCAGAAGGATATGTCGTAAACCCGAGCTCCATTTCTCAGCAATGGGTCTGCCAAACGAAGCTGTCTGAATGTTTCGATGGTCTTAGGTTGCATTCCGTCGGCCTTTCCTGTGGATGTCTTGTCGGGACGATCGTCCAGAATCACCACAGCGATTCCAAAGCGAACAAGATTACACCTTCAAATGTGTTAGTATACCGTCCGTCGAAGAAGGAATTTACATACGCTAGCATCAACCCCGACGGTCCCGCGCCCACCACCACAACGGTAGTAGAAGCATCGACAGAGCCGATTCTGTAGCCTTCGTGGTCTACACTAGGTGACATTATAGAATTCAATTGTTGGTTGACAATCACTTAATTCATTCCTATCTTCTCTATTTATTGAAATCGATGCTGCGGGGGGAACCCCCACTCTTCACTGCAGATGTTTATCACCATCGTGTCACCCCACCGTCCACAACAATGTCCGACCCGGTCATGTACGAACTCGCGTCGCTTGCGAGGAATACACACGCCCCCATGATATCTTCTGGTTCGGCAATCCGACCGTTCATGACTTCGGACTTCCAGCCCTCGAGCAGATGGGGGAACTGGCCATTAGCGGATAACCTGGTGCACTGCCTTGGTGGGAACTTACTGAAGCGGTCATTTCTGTTTTCACGAATCCTGGAGAGATGGAATTGACTCGGATACCCTGTTATACTGAATTAATCACCGCCCGTACAATAATTTGCGCCCAACTCACATATTCAGCCAGCTCTTTGGCGATCGCGGGACACATCGATCTGACTGCGCCCTTTGTGCCACAATAAGCTGAACATAGCTGGCTGCGGACAGCGATATGGCTCGCCATACTGGCGACTAACACGATGCTGCCGTGCTTTGTTTTGTTCGCGATCATTTGCTTGGCTGCGAGCTGGGCAGTGAAGTAAAGCCCGAGGACATTGATAGATAGTAGATCCTGATGATCCTTGTAGGTAAACTCGAGGAATGGAAGATGTCGATTAATACCAGCACAAGGAACGCAAATATCGAGAGCGTTTTCAAAATCCTTCTGGAAGCTAGCGAACCCTTCTTGCAAAGACTCCTGGGATGAGACATCGACTCTGTTGTTGTTAGCGATGAAACCTCAAATGAACAGTCAACCCACTTGTAATACGCAGTTCGGACACCGCAATCCTTTTCGATTGCATGGAATCCTTCCTCTGGCGAAATAACATCAAACACAGCTACATCAGCGCCGGCCTCGGCGAGCCCCCGCGCAAATGCTAGCCCGCAACCCCGAGCACCTCCCGTAACCAGTGCTGTGCGCCCTTTCAAAGAAAACTGGCTCGGTTAGCTCGGGTCAAGAAAAAATTGGAAACACTCACTCTCGACATATCGCGGTGTAGCTGAATATTGTCTTGCTGTGTAGTGAAGCCTTTCCCCTCAGACATTCCTCCCTTTTAAGCTATCGGATAGCGGCATACCCACGCTAAGCTAACCCCCATCTTTGTCCATAGTTGGAGTAGAGTGAAATAAAGATGGAGTAACCATATCCCATGTGCCTATCTATCATAAGTAGTCCTGTCTGACAGACGACCGGTATTCAACAATTAAAATATCTTTCATCCGGGTTCTGTTACACACCAATCACAATGGCCCCTCAAATCCCCATCAAAGAACAAGCGACCCGCTGCGTGTCATGTCGGCTCAAGGTTGTCATTGTCGGCGCAGGTCTCGCAGGCCTCGGGTCTGCGATTAGTTGCGCCCTTGCTGGGCATGAGGTCCAGGTCCTAGAAGCAACACGGGAAATCAAGGAGGTCGGCGCAGGTATCCAGATCCTACCCAATAGCTCGCGTGTACTGCAACATTGGGGCCTTGAAGAGGCACTCACGCCACACATGACCTTTCCCCGGGTCTGTAATTTCCTTGGATGGAAGGGCAATCCCATTTCGTCCATGGACTTTCACAAATCGGAGATTAATTATCCAGGCACCTGGTATCGTGACTTTCATCGTGCGGACCTGCAAAAATGTCTGGTTGAGAGAGCGCTCGAACTGGGGGTTAGTATCACCTGCAATGCTCGTGTGGTGGATGTCACTGTGAGCGAGGATGGGGCCATAGCTACTGCTTCTGCATCGGATGGAAGACAGTGGACTGGAGATCTCGTCATTGGGGCAGATGGAGTGTTTGGAAAATTGACGGAAGGTTTGCTCGGCAGAGTCGATCCGCCGGTCAAAACTGGTGATCTTGCATACCGTTTGCTGTTGTCTACGAAGGAGATGCTTAAGGATCCTGATCTGGCGGAATTGGTAACAGATCCCCAGGTCAACTATTGGTTAGGTCCGGATGCTCATGCAGGTATGTGTTTCTCTTCCTGGTCTGGGTTTTGTCGTTAATTGTGTAGTGAACTATGTTCTTCGTAGTGGGGAATTGTTCAATATGGTCCTACTTGTCCCCGACGATATTCCAGAAGAATCTCTGGCATCGACGATTGAAGGGAATGTGGAAGAGATGTGTGCTTTGTTCAAAGACTGGGATCCTCGGTACATTCTACAATGACCTTCAATTATGGACACATGGCTGACTATACCAGTATCCCCAAACTACTAAAGCTCTGCGATTCCGTCCAGAAATGGCGTCTTTGCATCCGATTTGGAGACTTTGACTGGACTCATCCCTCCGGGGCGTTTGTTATATTAGGCGACGCAGTTCACGCTACATTGCCATACCTGGCATCTGGGTATGATAGCCTTATATTTACTTAATTCCACATTCACTAACTACCACAGTGCCGGAATGTCATTCGAGGATGGAGCAGTTCTAGGTGAATGCCTCTCTCGACTCCCGAATAGCTCCGGAATCTCCAAAACCTCGGCCGAGTTCCTGACGGCCAAGCAACATGCCCTTTCCATCTTCCAGGAGTGTCGCAAGCAACGAACGAAAATGATTGTGGAGCGGGGAAATATCCAACAATATCTCTATCACCTACATGACGGCACTGAACAGGAAGAAAGAGATCGCAAGATGAGGATGGTCCCTACTCCCGAGGGAGAAGCATTGGCTTGGCGAGACCCCGGTTTAGCACCCAAATTGTTGGGATACGACCACATTGCAGACGTAAGTAATCATTGCTCTGTTTCTTCGGCTCTGAAATTCACTGACCGTGCTTAGGTTGATCGTCGATGGGGTAAATCACTAGGAACTAGTGTTATTGACTCGAGACTATAGTTTGATATCACCATTCCTGTCTTTGTCTTTCTTGTCATTCTCTGTTATAAGCTGCTCTATTTGGCCTACAATCATATCATTTTAGACACATGTGTCTTTATAAGTTGCCTCCGAGGCTGCTCGCTCCAAGTACTTGGCCCATCTTGGCCTATGGCTTGTTGGAAGCTGCCTTTGATCCCCAACACTTAGGAATCAAGCTCCCACCATAGTAAAGGAGCTTTTTGTCAGGGGCCGGCGTGTTCTTGAGACTCAGACGATGAAAGCAGCAATATAAAGTGTGCTAGTTACTCGCAGCAGATATCCCAAGTTCTTTTGGGATGTCTTTTCGGTTGTCTTTTCGCGTGAGGTTTGAGTGAGATCTTTCTAGAAATGTGCCTTCTTCCATATCCTTTGTTATACCGTTTGTCATACTGTTTGCATGTCGTTTGTCATGTCCTTTTTCCTGGTCACCACTTGCAGCTGTGTAAAACTCATTCTGCTATCCTACTCCCCTTTACACCCTTCCAAAGTCGGTCACCTTCCTTCTTACCTTCTTCTTACCTTCTTAGCGCAACAAGTAGGATCTATTCATATCCGGATCTCTCACTTTGATTTGGACGGAGATTTTCCAAGCACCAGGGCAATATTCTTAAAAGGTATATATCTTTTAGCATCGGGTCTCAGCTATCCATCCCCAATACCTCTTTCGTGTGCCTTACTGACCGTACTTGTGCAAGGACTTAGAACAATGTCCTCCGATGAAGCCCAGAAACGGGCAAAGGCTACCAAAGCCACAAAAATCAAAGATTTCTGTATCCCAGCAGATGATAATGATTGGAATGAGCTTGTTTCGCGTAAGCCTGGATTGAGGAACATGATCATACACACCATCCCAAAAGACTGGTGTTTATCTGCCTCGGAAGCAACAATCTCGCAGTGCCATGCCCCATTCAACTCACAATCTTCCAGAGGCTGAGAATGAGGCAATCTCAAACGCGGCCGCCATAATCCTTCTGCAGAAATTGTCACACCTCGCCAAAACCAACCTAGAATGGATTTTCAATCGAGTTCACTTTTCATGCAAGTTTACAAGCATGACGTACAATGCTTACACCGACGGAGCTTTGCGGTCAAAGACCACGTCGAAAATATTTGGAATCTTGGAGGTGAAAAAAAGAATGCGCACGGTGAATCCAGCCGCCATCTTCGCCCAAGAGGCCTGCCAGGTCGCGGGGTGGTTAATGGAATCATCCGCAGAGATGGCTGTTTTCAACAACCAGTAAGTTTGATCGCGGCTTAGTGCTTAAACCGCTATGAATGGCTCTATAGGATTCGACTAACTGATCACACTCCCTTTCTAGTTACATGCTGGTTTCGCAAGACAGACATCAACTTTTTTTGACCTTTGCACCCTTCAACGAAAGCTACGAAAGTTACTTACACAACGGAACTGACACCGACGTGTTTCTCGTCATGCACACGGTTGGTCCCTTTTCGACATCCGACGCTCGACAAATGGCACAATTCGGGCGCATTTTTGTCGCCGCTACACTGGTTGCCAAGTCGGCTGCTGCCAACATTCATTGAACCGTTCTCCACGTCCACTGCTTTCTCCTGGTTGATGTAATAGACCTTGTTCGCTACCTTTACCAAATAAAATGTTCTTTGTGTCTACTGAATGAAACCCAATAATTATATATGTCCTCTATTGTAGATAGCGCCGAGAATATGAAGCAAATGAAATCAGCTCCTAGGAAAGATTCATTGATAGGTTAACTAAAATACTGACTCCATAAGAAAGGCGTCTTTGGTTCAAGGTAGACAGTTAATCCTTGTCACCGTTGTGAGAGAAAAGACTGAACATTAGAACTTGATTATTTGCCCACTCCCTCTGAATCATGTAGCTCTGCATCTAGCCTGGGCCTTCTGAACTTCCTTGCCCGGACGGATCCAAACATCCTCGCAAGCGTATGCTCTTTTTGTGAGCTCTGATTCATGTTCAGCATCTTTTCCCCCATCTAGTACATCAAGAGTGCAAACCTTAGGGATGTCGATGACAACTGTGGGTTTGGGAACTGTGGGCATTCTGGGATTTCCGACTAGGTCGGCGGACATGAATCCGAGCAGAATGTTCATACTCTCGTTTGCGACTTCGTTAGTCGAGAAATCAAAAAGCTGAGTCTTCTTGATGACTAGACCATCTTGGCTGGATTGGGCTTCGATTACACGAGCTTTCATTCCGCCAAAGACTGTGATAGCCATAATCTATATTATAATCGATATATATTAGCCTTTAAGACATATAAGTACTTCTTGAGCCTATACTTACCGGAATTGTATTGCACTGCAAGAAGTCCTCGTTTTGAAGTCGTGTAATCATAGCAGCGGTAATAGTCATTACCTCTGCCCGAAACAGCCCTTCGCTAGGCTGCTCTCCAATTACAATCGCGATCATGACATGTGGGGGACGTGGCTGACCACCACTCGGTGTCTTCGCCACAAACATGGTATTCGGCGACCATCGGACCGATGTCCAAATAGCTGGGTAGAACTCGTCGGCGATGATTGACGGGACATTATTGCCACTATCAAGCGTACGTTAGTCTACCTATTGCATCGTAAAGGAACCATATCACTTGCCTCTCCAACCATCCAGACTCTTGCCTAAGGTTAGGTGGGACTCTGTCATCTCCTGGGGGGTAGAACTGTCGGCGGAACTGAAAGAACATCCATTCTAGAGCCGAATGGATATACGATGCCTGGGAATTAGCACCTTCTTTTGAGAGGCGATCTGTGAATTCCTCCCATCGCTCAATAAGTGAGGTCAGTCGTCTCTGGTAGTCGGGGTTGGTAAGAACAATGGGGGGAACCCATGCAGCACCTTTGGGTTCAAAGAAAACCGGCCCGTGGGGATCAGAATATGGAGCATAGGTGTGTCTTCCATTATCGTCTATCTCAAGAGATCGAACATCGATGTGAAGAGACTGGTAGGATTCGGGGTCGATCTCGATAGAGGTGAGACTTTCGGCCCCATTGTAGACATCGTTGATAGCGTTCAGAACTTCGCTGTGAGCTTCCAAGGAGTCTTTGATCTGTTGGCCCGCATGACGATGTAACGTGGGAATCTTTTTGAGTATGCTGACTAGGCTGAAGAGCTAGAAGGAAAACAGAAGTTGGAAGTTGGAGAATCCAGGAATGGTGGGTCAACAATGACCAGGTGAGGTGTAATGGGGGAATGATATATGTCCCCGTTTGGCTTGTTCCGCTGATGCCTGAGGCCCCCGTTTCCTCCTTTCTGTTTGTTAGTGTCTGTCTCTTTGTTGGAGAGATATCTTTCTTCTATGGTCATTTCAATTCTCCTGTATCCTTTGCCAATAGCGCCCAGCCATTCTTCAACCTGCCGAAAAGGAGTATGGCGTGAAGATCTACGTCATTTCCAAGTGCATGATTCAAATCCCCCTGATTTAAGCTGTTAGCTGAGTATCAAAGACACTTTCCAAGAATTAATACTTGATTCCTGTTAGAATCAAGACGTGAGACCCAACATTCTTAAGGTGAGATGTAGCATAGACCTACGTGTAAGGGATATTATTTCCCCCTCGGTCGATCGTGGGGTAAGCCGTTAGGACTAGCGTTATCGTCAGGGCTGTAGACCCCCATCTTTGAAATTAGGGAGTCACTAAGTTCCACGTACCTCTATCTAGGGTAAAAGGTCCAATTTATTGAAAATAAAATAAAATTATCTTATCGTTCGTTCATGTTACCCCCCCATTTTAAATCCCCTCACGATACATCGATACATGTCCAAGAGCACCTATATAGACTTTATGCTCGTAATCCCAATTTGATCCAGTCATATCATCCATTCAAAATGTGGCGGATTTTCAGCGCAGGAACCACCGCAAAAGAAGACCCTCCACACGGTCTACCAGCGTCATGGTATCGCTCAGAAGCAATGTACCAATTGGAAAGACGGGCAATCTTCTCCAAGCGATGGATGCTGCTCACCCACTCCAGCCGTTTCAAGAAACCGGGCGATTATCTCTCTTTCACAATCGCCAACTTCTCCTTCTTCCTTATCCAGGACCGCGACGGCACAATCAACAGCTTCCATAACGTCTGCCGTCACCGCGCATTCCCCGTTGTACAGTCTCCCTCTGGCACTACATCCATCCTCAGCTGCAAGTACCACGGATGGTCATACGGCCTGAAGGGCAATCTCGCCAAAGCTCCGCGTTTCGAGACAGTACCCGATTTTGATAAAACCCAACACTCGCTATTCCCAATCCATGTGCACGTCGACAAAGCTGGCTTTGTGTGGGTCAATCTGCAGGCCGGTGAGACGGATGTGAAATGGGAAGACGATTACGAGAAAGTTGACGAGGAGCCTCGGATGCAGGACTTTGATTTTGCCGCGGAATTCAAGTTCGATCATTACTGGGAGATGGAATTGGACGCGAACTGGAAGGGTGTGATTGAGAATTATAATGAGTGCTACCATTGCGCTACTTCGCATCCGCTTATCAACGGCGTGTCGGATCTACCAAAATATCGGGTTGAGCCCAAGGCCCGGTATATGGAACATCATATCTTTAATAAGGAGGGTTCGGATAGCCAGTTTCGACGGGCGATCACGTATTTCTATCCGACGACTTCTGTTACGGTGACGTGAGTATAGGAAATCCAAATGTGAAAGTCAACACCAGGGCTAACTAAGAACAAACTAGTGATAAATTCTTCTATATCCAGCGTATGATTCCTGTTTCTGCTACCTCGAGCAAGATCGAAAATGAGGTTTACCGTCACCGGGATGCCACTGATGAAGAATTTGAGAATATCAACGCGTTTTACAGGCAGGTTCTCGACGAGGACAAGGAGCTTTGTGTTGGAACGCAGGAGAACCTTAATTCTGGGGTTTTTACCAATGGCGAACTACACCCTAGCAAAGAGAAGGTAAGATCAAACTGTGACACTACTAATACAGCGGCTAACCACGACATTAGGGCCCCATACACTTTCAAAGCAGCGTCAGACAAATGGTCATAGAACACCGGAAAAGTGAGGAAAAGCAAGGAGGATCCGAGATTTGGCCGGCCACCCCAAACGCTCAGTTCTCGAAGGGTTCAGCAGAAGATGAGAGCTTTTGTTCGCAGTTGGACGCTTCTAGTTGTATGGCCAAACCGGAACTGGCCTGGTAGCCAGATACACATGTACCTGGGCTAAATGCAAAGCTGAACTTGGAACTGCTTTACCAATTAGGTATTATTCCCTGTACTATTTCATACGCCACACATTAGCCTAGTCGGAGAGATCTCCAGATACCGAATCAGAGAAAAAGACAAGCAGGGCCGCATCATAAATTCGCTAAATAATACCCACAGGCGACGATAACTTAGTTATTCAATCCAAGAGGGTTATCCCCTGTCTGCTTCTGGCCCCCAACACTAGAAACACCGCTCTGTACGCCCTGTCCGGCGCCCTTCGCCGTATTGCCGACACCCTCTGTTGCGCCTGACACGGTCTGTCCAAGGCCTGATGTTGCGTTGCCCACGGTTGAGCCGAGACCGCCGACTGTGCCGCCTACTGTATTTGTCACGCCGCCGACTGTCTTGCCCAAGGTATCGCCTAGGCCGCCGAGGAGTCCAGCTATGGATATTTGTTAGTTGGGGTGGGATTTTGATGGTTGTTTATTGGGAACGTACGGTTCTGTTCGTTGGACATGGTGATTATGTGGAAGAGGATGTGTGGTTTGTGTGTTGTATGGAGTGTAATTGATGTAGTTGAATGTGTGTCAATGTCAAATGTTTTGATCTTGATGTAGTGTTATGGTAGGCATCGCTGTCTTTATTTATATCAACGCCCTGAAACCGGTTACATAGCCATGACAGCCATCTTGAGGCTAATATCTTGAATGTATCCACCTGACGTACTGACGTACCCCATGTCCCCCGCAGTGTAGATAATGGGATGTCATTATTGGTTGACATTCGCCGATCACATGGGTATTGTCCGATAAACTGTTTCAAGAAAGTCTGTTATATTAAAAGAATGTGGCGAATGATGGATGACTGGCTGGTTGTTGTTGGTGTTGTTTGCAAGGGTATGATGTCATTTTTCGTGCGGACCTGGCCAGGATATTTTATATTAACTGTAACTGGATGATCTCATGCCCGACGGAATTCTTGTCTGCAGAGGTGGATTGGTGCGTATCATAAAGGCTATTACGACGTAGGGCTGTGAACAATGGTACAACAGCATCATAAGATGGTATAAGAGAAATACGTCGTCATACCTATTTACAGACTCGCCTTTCCGCGAGACTCATATGGCATGAACAATACGAGAATTCCCGCTGCGAGGAACAGCGCCCCGCTAACATAAACAGGAGCAGCGGTTGTGAGATCAGCAAACATCGCAATAACAGGAGCCATGATGCCAAAGATCCGGTTCGCAGACGCGGTCAATGCGTTGCCCGTACCACGGTCCTTGGTGAGAAAGATCTCGGGGGTATATGCATATAACACGGCATACATGAGACTACTCATGAAATTAAAGGCGCTGTTCCAACCTAGCAGAGCATTTGATGT